ATTTTCAGCTTATCAAGGAAACTCCATACTGTTTTCTGTAATATTTTCTTTCAAACCCATAACTTTATCAACATTTGTTAATTTTTGTATTTATGATAGCAGATGAGGTATAAAGTGATATCTTATTGTGATCTTAATTTATCTTCCCATAATTAGAGATAATGAACCTTTTTATATATCTGTTGGCAACTCTCTGTTGAAAATTCACAAATCTTTACATCTACACTTGATACTGTATTGAGATTTAGGTCCAGATTTTTAAAAATGGTTGAACATACTCATGTTAGTATTTTATTGAGATAGCAAACTCAATTTACTTCAAATTGAACTCATTATTTCAGTCTCTACTCTCCCATTCCATGATCTGTTCCTACTTTTCTATTCCCAACTTTCTCATCAAAGTCTGTGATCCAAGCTTTATCAGATAATTATTTGGCTCCTATCTTCATATGAGAATTTATGTTCAATCAGTCATATCTTATTGATGCTATCTGAGGATTTCTTTTATGCTTTTTTTCCCTTTCCATTGACCCCTTACAGTTTTGGTAACCTGTCTTTCACAAGTTCTTAATATAATGATGACTATAATGACTTAATTTAGATTTGGCAATGGAATTAGCAATATAAGTTTAGTATGCATATAGATTCAGAATACTGGAGGTCAAAATGCCTACCAAATAACAGAAGAGTTTATTATATTCTCTAAGTTCTTTTGAAATCCATTCCATGTTGTTGTGGGTAGAAAGCTAAGTATCTGCTCGGTCTTCCTACTATATACAAAAACATACCCTGAGAGAAGATATCCATATACAGTAAGACCAAAAGTGGTCAGACGTGGTAGAAAAGTACCAATTGTAGTACCCAGACTGAAAAGAACCCTAAACATTAAGAAACAAAGTACCTCTTTTTAATCTGTTTTATCATTTTGAGATGATATGCCTCAGGTATGGCATATACATGTGCACATCTAAGGGAAGCTGAGAGGAGGACACAGAATCAGTGGAAAGCAGGTGAAAAAGTACAGCAGAGGGGCCCATCAGCTGCACTGGACATTGACTCAAGGGTGGTGATGGGAGGGAGGGAATGAGAGAGAAAGTGGGGACAGCTGACACTAAGCAAAAGGACAGAAATGTACATATCACCGGATCTGATGTTCATAGATTTCATAAGCTTTTTAGATTAGAATGATGATTATCATTGTGAGGGTTAAAATGTGTTTGTGACTTTAGCTAAGTATAACTATACCACAGAACTGTGAAACATATGTAGTTACTTAATCTCAATAAAAAAATCTTTGGGCAAAAATTAAAAAATCCTTAGATATAAGTAAAGTGAGGTTGATGTATTGGTGCATGACTACAGTCTCAGCTACTCCAGAGGCATACCATCTCTGCAAAAGAGTTGTGAGATTGTCACCAGAGAGTGATAAGAATGGTGGAAAGCTTCCCATTAGAGTCCAATTTCCACACAGACCCACTAGTCCATGACATGGAACAATAAACAGAACTTTAGGATGTACCAAAAGAGGAGAGTTCTACTAGGTGTAAGTTTTAGCATGCTTAATTTTAGTATAGCAAGGTTAAAGTAGGGAGAAAAAAGTGAAACATTTTTAGCTTCCAGTGCAGGAAATGGGTGTTAAAGATTCAATGTGGCAGTTGTTATTTGCTGTTTTTATTCGTTTTATTCTTTCCTTTTATTTATTGATTTTCTATGCAATTCCTGGGGCTTGATTTTGGGACCTGCGTATTGTCCCTGAGTTTTTTTGCTCAAGGCCAGCACTCTAATGCTGGAGCCATATCTCTACTCTGGCTATATATATATAAAGTTGTACAGAGGGGTTACAGTTACGTGAATAGGGTAATGAGTACATTTAGTAGTGAGCATTGTTACCTCCTCCTTTGTTTTCCCCATACCATCACTTCCCTCCCTACCTCCCCAACTCTTCCCACCTACCTCACCCTGACATTGTAAAGTTCATTTTCAACATAGTGTCCTGTACATCTTGTCATCACAATGCGTCAGCCTGTATCCCCATTTAAGTGTTCCACAATATCCTTTCCCCTACCCAAATTACAAAAATGTATATACAAGATGCAGGACACTGACATCAAATCCAGTGAAAACAAGGGTTATAGCATGGGGAAAGAACATACAAAAGAAACAAAAGAATCACATAGTGCAGTATAAATACATTAAAAACACTAGCAAGAAAGAAAAAAAAAACACTTATGTCCTTGTCTTGGGGTTACTTCACTTACTGTCATTTTTTCCAAGTCTTTCCATTTCCTAACAAATGGGGCAATGCTATTCTTTCCTTTGGAGGCATAGAATTCCATTGTACATATATACCACATTTTCTTGATCCATTTATCCACTGAGGGGCATATGAGTTGGTTCCATATTTTAGCTATGGTAAATAAGGCTGCAACAAATATAGCTGTACTGGTAGCTATAGACTGGCCTAGTTTGTGATTTGAGTTTGCAAAAATGCCCAAAAGTGGGATTTCTGGGTCATAAAGGAGCTCTATGGAGTCTTTTGAGGAACCTCCATACTGCTTTCCAGACTGGTTGGACAAGTTTATACTCCCACCAACAATGCAGTAGGGTTTCCTTTTGGCCACATCCCCTACAGCACCTGTTGTTGTTATTAGGTTTCTTGATTATAGCCATTCTAATCTAGGGTGAGGTAGAGTCTCAATGTTGTTTTTGTTTGCATTTCTTTTATAGCTAGAGAAGTTGAGCATTTCTTCATATGTCTATTGGCCATTCTTCTTTCCTCTTCACAGAAATCTCTCTTTAAGTCTTTAGCCCTACCTCCCTCATCACTCCATGTGCATCCCTCCTGAAGCTGCACTCTCCGTCGAAGAGGACGACCATCCCTGACCATCCCAGTCAAGGGTATATGAGTAGTTGTGCTCCCCTGCTAGAACCTCCAAACAAGGTCTCTGGCTTTTTTTTTTGGTGATTAATTGGAGATAAAAGCCTCATGGGTTTTTGTTCAGCTAGCTTTAAACTGGGATCCTTGGGTCTCAGGCTCCAGAGTCCCTGGGAAATTACATAAGGCAATTGTTCTGGGTAGGCCAAAATGGGTGTTACTTGTTTTTTTAAATGTGGGGGTGTCCTTGGGCCTATGCAAAACACAGTTACAATAGGTGATTTTTATGGTTTCCATTTCTCACATAAGCCTCTCTTCCAACTATCTCTATTCAGTGGTTGAGTAGCCAAGTTTTTAGCATTTCAAAGAGAAGGCAATTTCAGAAAAGAACTCTTACTTGAGTCATCCAGACCTTATAACTTAGCATTTAAATAGTGGGAAGCTTAACCATTGTGTTCGTTGCTTCTGGGTTCCAACTTCCCAGACTGGCCCTTTTTATATTTATTAAACATAATACAGTTTCCTTGGCTCCTTACCTATTTTTCTTGCCAAAAGCCCTCATCACAACAAAAAAGGTGAGTATGATTGCATGCTCTTGTAATCCCTTCTACTGGAGTGATGTGCGTGGGAGGAATTTGATCTTAAACCAGCCCTAGTCAATAACATCAGACCCTATCCAAAATTAACTAAAGCAAAAAGGTCTGGGATTGAGGTTCAAATGTTTGCCCAGCAAGAGCAAACCCTAAATTTAATAATCAATTCCACCAAAAATGTAAAGTGACTTGTACAGGACCACATATCTCACTCATTAACTTTAAGCAAGAACTAAACCCCAAACAAAACCTCAGTATTCTTCCTACAGGATACCTACAATAAGTTCTGGCTTGTGTGACAAAAGAGATAGATATAGTTGAAACTCAATTTCAAAACTTGTTCCTGACATAAACTGATCTGTTGTAGAAATATTTTCTTCAACACAAAGTAATGAATCTCATTTAGGCATGAAAGCTCTTTGGGTACACATTTGAACAGTGTGGTAATTTTCAGTTAATTCAAAACATGCCCTGCTACATCCTTTCATAAGGACTTCTGAACAAAGAAAATAAGCTATTAACTTTTCCTGTGAAAGGAAAGAGTGCGATAAAAAGTGTTTATAATAGCATGGATCCACACCAGACTATTTTATGTTGAAACACTAAGAGAATACATCTCTTTAACTAACTTAAAAAAGCACTACCCTCTTTTTATTTGTGAGCTTAAGATATTATTTTTATCCTGCATGTGTGTGTGTGTGTGTGTGCGTTTGTGTGTGTGTGTGTGTGTCTGTCTGTCTGTATGGATGGATGTGTATACAATTATGGTCATGGACAGCCAATATTTTTCTAGGTTTTTGCAGTTGCTTAGGTTTTCAAGTAGATGGGATAAAGACATTCACATTTTTAAATGTGGTTTGGATATAATAACTACAAGTCTGAAACAAGTGGACTGGGGACAAGATGTTTTTCCTTATTGACCTGCTTTCAAAATTTCTCCCAAGGAGAGTCCTAAAATAGATCATAATGAATTCCCCTGTAACCAATTCTCCTAGGACAAAGTGGCATATTTTCAAAATTGGGCTACTGAGGAATGAATCTGACAAGGGAAAGAGGAAGAGATCTGGAAGGGAGTTTAAATACATTGATTTGATTTGATTTGATGGCTAAGTTTCACCTACTGTCCATCAGTATAGAAGATCCTGGGTTTGATATTTACAAGCCCAGACCAAGCGAGCTGTGATCATGCAAATCTAACAGTTGGAGTGTGTTGTGCTTGCTGCTTTCCTGTGCTAAGCTGATTTATTTGTTTAAGGTCTGACCTCATCATCCTGTCAGTATGGGTTCCCACCTCTACTGTTAGCAGCAGCTTTTTGCTTCAGCTGGAAGGCTAGAAGTGTTCACAGGGTGCCAGAGGCAGAGGGGGAGGGGACCGAGTGCATGAAAGACTCTCTCTCTCTCTCTCTCTCTCTCTCTCTCTCCACTTGTGCTTTTGTTAGTTCTGTGTAAGAGGAGAGAAGCAAGAGATAACAAAGGCTCCGTTTCCTTGCTGTTAGAGAAGGCTTTTGTCTTTCTCCTTTCCTCCTGTAACCATGTCCGGCAAGAAGGAGTTTGATGTGAAACAGATCCTAAGGCTGCGCTGGAGATGGTTTAGTCATCCTTCTCAAGGTTCGCCTCTCACTGGAAGCTGCCCTCAACAGGAAGGATATGAGCATAGAGGGACCGCGGTTCAGGGCAGGCTGAAAACCCACTCTGGGGATAGAAACGAACTGAAGAAAGGCAGCAGTCCTGTCCACCCCAATATACTGACACCAGTTCCAGGACCTGCTTCTGTGCATCAAAGAGCCCAGCAAAATTGGCACCAGCAAAACCTTATAGAACATCTCCAAGCAAATGAAGATATTCCTCAAGCAATTCCAGAAGAGGATTTGTCCAAAGAAGCTTGTGGGAAACACTTAGGAGATTTGGAGATGATGACTGATGACAATATAGAAGATTCTAGAGCACGGTAGGAGTTTTTGGTTAGATAAGTGAAAGCTGTAATCTAGATTAATTTTATCTCTGCAATTTTCATTTTGGGTTAAATAGTGTTACAGTGTTCTCTGAATTCATGTGTAGCCAAACAATGTCTCCAAGAAACCTCATGCTCTCAGCTAAAAAGAACACTGTAATCATACATATGTTTTGATAACAAATGGGAACTGTTTTAGGTTAGTGAGTTTACTTCTGCTATTTCATTTCCACTCCATTCAGAATTCTGTTTCACAACTAATATTTTTATAATTACTGATCTGTGTGTACCCCAGAGGCTTCGATCTTCCAGTAATAAGGCACAGTAAATGACAGCAGCTGGTTAATAACTATTAAAGTACTTTAATAAATCTGGAGCTTTTTACAAATAACTTAAAATGTAAGCAGTGATTCTGAAACTTTTTCCAGATGGTTCATTTTAAATTCATTTTACTCACAGCCTCTTTAGTAAGAGTGAAATACTATGGTCCACATGTTACATTCCTAACAGTGGGTGTCTGCACATACATATTTAAGTTAGTATGCCTTCAATTATAATGCTTAAAATTAGATATTCTAATATCTAATAAGATAGTTGATTTTGTAATATTTTGACTTCTTTAGCTACTATAAGTAAATACCTCTTGTTATTATCTCTGATATTTAAAAGTATTATTTCATTTCTGAATTTGCAAATATATATAATGAACACAAAATATATTGTATTATATAACACATGGCATCAAGAGAAATATGTTAATTATATTGATTTGTTGGGGATTGGACAAGTGTTTAGTCACTGAAATATTTTAGCCTGAAGTTTATTTTTTAAATTTGTATGTGTTGTTTCCTACTTTCTAAAGACATTTTTACTTTAGTGTTAACTGTATTGGAATTTCCCTTATGAATTTATGAGTGAAATAGTTGATATATCACATGTATATACAGCATTGTGCTATATATTCGTGGATATATATGCATATGTGTATTTGTGTTCTATTTGTTTATATAAAGAAAAAGGGAAAATGAAACAAAGGAGAGGTTTGGAAAGCACTGGATAGTCAATAAACAAGTTCTTTAATATGATCTTTTGAAAATGAATATTGCCCACTTTATACTTTCTGAAAATAAGAAATGCTAAAAATAATGATGAGAATGTGTCAAAGGGACACAGGAACCAACTGAAAGAGCTCCTTATAGCTCATATTTGTACAATTTAGAAAACAGTATTATTACATTGTAAGCCAGGGTATAAAATACACATCTACAAGTACAAATTGATATAAATAAATGATTGCGTAAGTAGGGTGAAAAAACAAAATCTCTTGGGCAGAAGTATTCCAAATCATTTAGGTAGAAATGCTCCCTTTTAGAAAGTTGGGCACAACACCAGGCTTTTAAGAGTGAACGAATATATGTAAAAGGGATAGGGAAGAACACATAGATATGGTCAAGTAGGCACTGGACATGCTATCTGAGCTAGGTAATCAAGTTGAATATGTATTTGGTATGATATGATGAAATGAACTTTTGTCTCTTGTCTCTCCAAATCTCATCATTCCAGTTTATTCATGAGATAAACATAAGACAAATTCAAATATGGAGGCATTCTATCAAATATTTGGTCAATAATACTAATACTGACAATGTCATCAAAATTTTAAAATGTAAAACAAAAAAACAAAAAACAATTCCCTCGATGAAGTGGAGCTTAAGAAGATGTGATGAATATATGGAATATGGTACAAAGGGACTTTTTCTAGAACAAAATGAGGAACTCTGAGTAAAGTGAGGCTTTATGTTAGAATGATATATGAATACTGGTTAGTTACTTATAATGCATTTATCCTGCTAATATATGATAGGATTAATAGAAGAAATTGATGTAAAGTGTATGTGGGCTCTATCCATTGCCATAAGCTATGAAATATCTAATGAGTCCAGCAAAATACTGGACTGGATGTATGGCTGTAGTGTGATACCGCCAGGCATGAGTGAAAAAGCTGAATGAGAGCCCAAGGCCCTAAGATTAAGCCCAATTCTAGCACACACACACACACACACACACACACACAACTATCTAGTTTAGCATTGTGATGTTACTCAGGAGGATGGGACAGATGATCATAAAAGGAGGCCAGCCTGAACAAAGTTACTAGAGTACCCTCTCTGAAAAGAAAACTAAATGAGAAGGACATGGCATGTTTCTCAAATGGTAGAACTTTTGCCTCATAAGCATGAATACAAGTTCAATTCCCCCATGCTGTAAAACTAAAGTGTGCTTAAGAGGCATTTACAGTGTATTATACTTTACACTAAAGCTCTGAATGCAAGAAAACAGTAACACATTTGAGTATGACATACTCTGTAACATCAAATATATACTTTCTTGAATTCAAGCTTTTTGATTTGCTTTTATAACATGTTGAACCATCTGAATTACTGAGTTTTGCTTCTGCTATATTATAGTGTTATTTCCCCAAAGGTTTTCTTTGAGACTTTATGCATAATCAAGAGAAGTAAAATTATGGAATGTTTTATTTTTAGTCCAATAATACCTACTTTTTTCCCCTATATCTTTCATCCTGGAAAGGTGACTCCTGAGATTTTTAAGAACAGTGCTTATGTCATCATTGCTATGCTAAAGATTGCATATGTAGTGATGGAAAGTAATAAAGAGCATTTAAGAATAAAACAAATATATCTCAGGTTTTCCCAAGCTTTTGTTAAAAGTTAGTTTGTGGGTACCAAGGCATCATTGACTTGGAGAAGCTTGTCCTTTAAAAAAATAATTATTGGACTACATCAAGAAGACGTAATAAAACAAAAAATGATTTCTTTTTGTGGTACTGAAGATTAAACTCAGGTCTTCACAATTGCAATTTGGGCTCTCTATCACTTGAACTGCACATCCAGTGGTTTTTTGTGTTGTTTGTTTTAGAGATAGAGTTTTCCCTTAGGCCAGACTGGCCTGAACTATGTCCCTCTTATATACAGTATTGGATGAATTCTAAAGAATTTTACCAAATGATTTTTATCTTTATGATATAGGATTTTGTATGATTTCTTAGGGTTTCAACTTTAAATGGAAATTATAAAAATTACTTTAAGACCTTTATCTTAAAATGTTATGAATTGCATATTATTTACTAAAAATATTCTAGGCATTCTGTTGCATGTTAATTTATAATTATATCATATACTTATATCATTGTCAGGTCAAAGGTGTAATGAACTGTATAATTTGAACATGGTCTGACAGCTCCTGATTAAAACTGTAGCCAAATATCAATTTTACATCCTAGGGATTTGAATGTCTCTATTAACAACCCTCAAGATGAGAATATATTAATTTTTACATCATTTTTCTTATTAACCATTGCCAGTATAGCCATAGATTCATGGAATATTTCTATTCATGGAATATTTCCTAGTCCATAATTAGTTTTACATCCACATATATCTTATTGCCCAAAGACATAATCTTTTCCAGAACTTTTTTTTGTTGGTAATGGGGCTTGAACTCAGGGCCTGGTTGCTGTCCCTGAGCTCTTTTGCTCAAGATTAGCACTCTCACTTTGAGCCACAGCTCCACTTCCAGTTTTTGAAAGGTTAATTGGAGATTAAAAGTTTCATGGGGACTTTTCTGCCTGGTCTTGCTTTGAAACCGGATCCTTAGATCACAGCCTACTGAGTAGTTAGGATTATAGGTATGAGCCACTAGCACCCAGCCTCTCTTCCATAACTTTTATTAGGATCATTAACTTTGAAGTAGGAAGTGGAGGTTCCTAAAAAGCAGCTCAAATAGTGACAAGAGAGAAAGAAAAACATATAGATAGATATAGATATATAACATGTTTTGTAGACTGATTATATATATATAATATATATTATATATATGGTTAAATTTCAAAGTGAGCTGTTACTGAAAAGCAATAAGGTATGGACATTTGCCAAGGTTATTTTTTGAAAAATCCCTGTACTTTTATATAAATACATTTATATAAATACATTTTCTTGGTAATGGGAAAATGTAAGCCAGTTTTTTTCCTGGTTTTTGATTATTCCTATGCTTCCAGTGCCAAATACAGGAATTAATTGGGAATATATAAATAACAGAAAAAAGTGTGATTTTTTTCAGTTAATAGTTTGTTTTCCTTAGAAGAAACATCATTTTCTTAGTTTATGTTAATGTTTATTCAGTCTTTTCCAGAATATCAACTGTCATTTCTTTCTAAAACTAATAGGGATAAAAAGCACTTTGATTAATGAATTAATTGATATGAAGAAAAGAATTTATTTTTAAATCATAATAACTAGTCTAAAACATCCATTGTTTGAATATAAAAGCTACTTATGAATTCTCATACACTCCCATGTAAAATGTGTTCCTTTATTGGAACATTTTCTTTCATACCCTTTATAAAAATGCCTTCAGAGTCAAAATAGTTCCAGTTCTCTATTTTATTTGTTAATATGCTTTCCAGCTAAGTTTTTATTTCTGTGAATCTCGTTCTTTCCTTTGTAAAATGATAAAAGTAAATATACTTTGTTCATATAACTATGGATTAATAGTAAATAGTGAAGTTTTGAAACATTGCCTCACACATAGGTGTTCAATAAGTGTTAATATTATTATTTTACACTTTTAATAACTTTATGAAACCTTATTTATCTGTGATAATGCAAAATATTAAGCATACATAGTTGCTTAGAAGTTATAAAAATTCCCTCCTAGCTGGGTATCTGTGGTGGCTCATACCTGTACTCCTAGCTGCTCAGTAGGCCGAGATTTGAGAATCATGGTTCAGTCAGCCCTGGGATGGAAAGTCTGTGAGACTCTTTTTTCTGATTAATGAGCAAAAAAGCTATAAGTGGAGCTTTAGCTGGAGTGGTAGAGTACTAGCCTTGAGCAAAACAGCTCAGGGTTAGCAAACAGGCCTTTAATTCAAGCACACATGCGTGCACGCACACACACACACACACACACACACACAC